AGAGTCCTTGACGAGCACATCCAGGATGTGGCTGCCCAGTCCACCGGTCGTCCCAGTGACAAGTACCACGGTGCCGTCGCCTTTGAGTCGCCCGTTCGCAGAGGTCGTCTCTCGCGTAGGAACATCCCCTGTTATATACTTCTCCACCATTCCGCGCATCGATTCCACCCGCTGGGAGATTGAAATGACCCCGGCGTCTTCCACATTACCGCGGGCAGCTTCTACCAGGAAGGCCGAGAGCGAATTGATGGTCGGGTGCTGGTACACAACGCTTTCGTTGATTTTCCGCGTATTGACGGATGCGGACGCGGACTCGCGCAGGGCACGGAGGATGGTGTTGCGGATCCACGTTGCCTGCAGACTGGCAGTGGTCAGTACCAAAGAACATTTAGTAGCAGAGACAGCTGGAGGTAATACCTATCGCATCCAATTTGGAACAAGTCAACGTCGCCTCCAACCTTAACCCGCTCTCCCTTAACCTTGGCAGATAGCACATTTTCCACAACCCTCCGTACAAACGTGCTTGTCAGCTCCAAGCTCCACTCGGCGGCGGCTCGATGCTGCTTTGCGCGCTCCGATGCGCGGCGGCGTACGGAGCTTCGATCTCATCAGCGTAGTCGCTGAGGATTGCCTGCCTCCGTGCGGTGTTCTTGGCCGTGTATGTGAATGGATTGGATGGGCTGCTACGATGATCATCTATAAACTCATGATCAATGCAACTTTGAAAACCGGCGGTTCCTCAGAAAGCAAGGAAAAGCACAGACTTCCTTGAAGATGCGCGAGTGTTGCGGAGCGTATTTGTTCATGGTTTCGACAGTCGGCCTGTTCAGTGTTCAGGTTAGCCAACTCGTTGTAGTTGTCCCCACAATGGCGGAACGCACCAGATCAGATCACGCTACTTATATAACTTTCACAAACTTAGTCGTAGTGCCCCAGACATCCCCAGCAATAGTCTCAGACTTCAGTAAGGTGAATTAATGTGAATTTGACTTTTGTGTGCCTGTTGACTCTAGACTTCAGGTGTACAGAACGAAGATTCATGAACTAGGGAAAATCCTCCCTCGCATTTTGCTGCTCTTGCCCGACTTCCCCTTTCGCGGTTCGCGTCACGGCCGGCGCCATCACGCATGAGTGCGGGAGCGGCAGTTACGACCTCTTCCCCCGTCGCGCGCGAGCGGAATCCAGGTGGGTGAGCCGAGGCGGGGTGGACTCAAACTCTCCGAGCGAAGAGCTGAGGTGATTGCTCGGTTCTGTAGATGCGCTGTTTACCCCAGAAAAGACAAAGATGCCCATGTATTCATTCGCAATGAGTTTCACTGACCTTGCATACGCGCCAAACATGCGAGCTTGTAGAGGTCTAATATTTCAGAGGTATATAATAGAACATAAGAACGCTAATAGCATGATAACACTGCACAATGAAACACTCAATTACGACAACAAGATCGCATCGCAAAAAAATCCATCCATCCACCCGTCATATAGCAGCAGCTACGCCGATGTGCCAGCCCGCCTCCATCACCTACAGGCTATTAGTGCCCTCTCACTCCTCATCCTCGCTCTCGTCATCGTCGCTGCTGTCATTCTGCCCCGACCCGCGGAACAGCGCAAGCAGATCGTCCATGCCGAGCTTCATATTCTTGAGCTTGTCGCCCGAGAGCGCGGCGGCAGCCAGCGCGCGCTTCTTCTCTTGCAGCTACAGAACAAAATTATAATCACACTCTGGCCCAACCAAAGAAGTGGAACGAATAAAGAAGT